ATCATGTTTATATTATTGTAAAACGTTAAACATTAATACAAATTGGAAAAACATTGAAATTGCTTACTCTGTCAATGATAACTAAATGACTGTTTGTTTTGAATTTTATCTGTTGTTTACATTTTGGGGATATAAACCTTATTTCAAAAATCAGACCCAGTGTTATTTTTATACCTTTTTGTGTTTTTTAGTTTTATTTTATAAAAATACTTCTAACTACTTGGAGACTTTATTAACAATATGAAAAAAAAACGATTATTTTTTTGTTCAACTTACTTGATTTCATCTTAAATTTCTTAAATACAGTATAACAACGGAAGAGCGGTACCTCTGAAGAGCGGGTTCTCTCAAGAGCGGGCATTGTTTTAGACTGAAACCAAAAATAGAGTTCTTTATCGAGCGGTAATTAAGGTTTGATTGGCTAAAAATGCCCGCTCTTGAGAGAACAAAATTACCACACCCGCCCGCTCTTGGGAGGTTTTACTGTAATTTGGACCTTGTTTTTAACATAGAAAACGGTCTTAACATAGAAAAAAAAAGTAATAAAAATGTATTGTTGTTTACTATTTTTTAGGGAAAAATCCTCCAATTTAACGGTATAATATAGTATATTTTTAAATTAAAAAATTGAAATCATCACAAAACACCACAATAAAATGAATAAAATCCCAGCCAAAATAATACTAAAAAATAAATAATAATAAAGTGTGTAATTATTTAATAATTTAACCCTTCGAGGACGGGAAAAATCAAAATTTGTAAAAAATAAAAATCTTAGCCAATTAGAATGTAAATGTGACCTTTTTTTCTTTAATTTTTTCAAAAAAAGCTAGACACCCTGGAACGACGGCTCTAGTAAATTTTTATAGTAAATTGTTATAAATTATAGTAAAAAAGTGAATTTTTTGTTGAAGTTGGGATGAACAAAGGTTCACTTTTTTGATTGATCCTTTCGGAAACAAGTCACAATTCAATGGAAAAGTCAGATCAAACATTAATTAAGATGTCTACAACTAATTACAATAATAAAATTAATTATAAAATATAACAAAGACCAAATTGCATCATAAAACATACTGGTCCGGAATATTCAAAATCAATTACATCATAAAATAACAAAGAAAAAATAATAAAGCATAGACTTTGAGGTGTCTTGAAATTTAAATATGCAATTGATCTCAAAAACAATTACAAGGGAAAATAAATAGATTTGTTTGTAAACTTTGAAAAATACAAAAATTTAAAAATTGGGTTTTACTATTTTTTGTAAAAGAAATAAGATAAGAGGTAAAGACACTTTTGTTTGTTCCGACTTTGAAAAAAATCTTAGAGAAAATAAGTGTAAAATAAACAATAAATATCTAAAATACATTTTCAAAAGTATCAAAAATCGAGAAAAAATTATAAAAACAAACTTTAACAATCAAAATAGTCGTGTTTAAATAAACTTTGATCACCATGAGGTTTTATGGTCACTCGTCGAAATTCACGTCGTGCCACTGTCGAGGAAGCAAGATATGAATTCATTGTTTGTAATTTGAATATTTTTATCATTTTCAAACAAAAACAAAAGGCAAAACGTGTTTTATGCAATCTATTTAGAATATAAAGATTTGTATTTGGTAAATAAATGTTTATTTTGCAGCCACTGTTTATTTATTTTCGAATTATGCATTTTGGGGCAACAAACAAAAAACTTATAGTAAATGTATAGAGATAATGAAAAACAAAGAAAAACACAAGTGTAAAGACATCATGATACATACCAATGACAACACTTTAAACTATAATTTATAATAAAATAAATTAATGTATTATTAATAATTTATCATGTTATTTATAATAATTTTATAAATATAATTGTTATATATTATAGTTACAACCAACAGACATAATTTTGACACAATAACACATCAACAATCATATCTTTACTACAACGTGATTTCATCGAAGTGATAAGTGAACACATTGATTTAACAATGTTGTGTAATTAAAACTATATTGTATTTTATGTATAGTTATAACAAAAATGGTATAATGACCCTTATTTATAATGTTATCATTGTGGAAGATACACAGTGTTTAGAATAAAGCGCGTTTTGGCTGAAAACATATCGTTCAAATTTAAAACAAAACAAATTAGCATTTAATTTATATAAACAGAAACACACTGGTTTAGTGAATGATCAACAAAATGATTATATGTGATATAATTGATGTAGTTGTTAAATAGATAACAATTTAAATTATTTGGATTTTAAAATTGATTACAAACTTTATTTATAATATTATTTTACCATTAATGATATAAAATCTAAAATAATAATA